ACGCGGGCACAAGAGCCCCCAGCAGACAGGTTGGCCAGGTGCTGGGCATCGAGGCTTGAGACAGGCTGGTGGAGCTGAAGGTGCCCCCCCACTCTGCCCCTCATCCAGAGGGACCTTTTAATCGGTCTGGTCTGGTCGGTTGGTTTCCATTTTGGCATCCGCCTCGCCTGGCCTGGAGAGGGACAGGGAGAGATCCTCCGGGACGCCCCCCCCCCGCCCACCGCTCAGGGAATTTTCACCTTAACAAGGACTGGGGGGGGGGCGAGACAAACGGGAGACTCGCCTCGCCTCTGACCCCCTCCAGCCCCGAGGGGACGATCTTTCCTGGTTTCCTCTGCAGGGTTTGAATAGGTGGAAAAGCAGCGAGTGGGCACAGAACCACCCTGGAAGCCGCCCCGCTGGGGGGGGACCCCCCCCCCCCCGGGAAGAGACGCAGGATATAAATAAAATAAATCAAAATTATAATAACGGAAATGAGTCTCCAAGGCCCCCCCTCGCCCCTCCCAATCTTTCACCATCTCCCCCTCCCCCCCTTCCAGGAGCTCCGCTTACCAGGTGGAGGCTCCATCCGTCCTCCCCTTCCGTGGACCGTGGAGGGACCCAGAAGCGCCATCATCAGCGCCAGAGTCCCGGGCAGGATCAGGCCAGACCCCATGGCTGCCCCACCACGGAAAACCCCCATCCAGCTCCCGGGGGAAACTTTGTTCACTGCGTTGGGCTGGGGGGGGGGAGTTTTGCCTCTGAAGTTCTGCGGAGGGGGACGGGTCGGGCCACTGCCCCAAAGACGACCAATGAGAATTCCGCCTGGCGGAGCGTCATCAGTCTCCGGGTAGACGGATAGGCCGCGGCTGCTCTTGCGGGAGATGGGTTTTTCTGGCCGGCGGTACAAAGAGAAGGCCGGGAGCGGGAGGACGGGGCGGGGGGGGGGAGTGAAGAGCTCCCTCCCAGGGTCTCCCCTCTCCTTTCTCCCTGGCCAGTTGCCCCCAAAGTGCCCCCCCCCCAATCTCCTCTGCTGTCTCCAAGCGGACAGATCGGGGTGTATTTAGCAGGCCTTGGGGAGAACGAACGTCTTTCTCTCTGTTTGTTTTTTTTGGGGGGGGGAGGGTTGCCAGATTTGGGTTGGGAAATACCTGGAGATTTCGGGAACGGAGCCTGGGGAGGGCGGGGTTTCAGGGCTGGCCCACCCTTGGCCTTTCTGCCCCACGGTCTCCCGGGAGCCCCCTTTTCTGTCCCCCCTCACCTCCCGTGGGGCTCTTTTTGTGCCCTCCAGAGGAGGAGGAGGAGGAGGAAACGGAGGCTTTTCCTGCGAGAGGCAGGCCTCTCTCTGGCTACAGAGCACCCGGGGGCCAAATGGAGGCGGCCAGGCCAGGGAGGCCACGCTCTGGGCCCGCCCTTGGAGACTGTCTGTCTGCCTCCCATAAGAGGGGGTGGGAAAGCAGGGGCAGAGAGAGGCGCTCCCAGGAAGGACGCGCTCCTCCCTTCTGTCGCTTGGTTGGGCTCCGTTTGTGTACTTTGCACCAGTGTTCCCTCTAAGCTGAGTGAGTGTGAGCCAGCTCACAGTTTTTGAGCCTCCGGCTCACACATTTTTGTCTTCGCTCAGGAAGGAGGGCTCCAGAGCAAACTGAGTGATGCAGTCGCCAAATCGCTGGCTCACAACTTTAATGCCAGGAGGAGCTCGCAAAGTAGAATTCTTGCTCACAAGACTCCACAGCTTAGAGGGAGCGTTGCTTTGCACCCAGACGAACCCAAGTGGGGAGTAGGCCAGGGAGCGGAGGCTGGCCGAATGCTGGCCGTCCAGCCCCAAGGCAGACCTCAGGGAGGCTCCTGGCCCCCCCTTTCCCACAGGCAGCCTCCTCTTCCTCCTGCCCCCACTGCCCGGGGCAAAGGGGGCGATCCTGCCCCCCTCCCCGTCTCCTGCCCAGCCCCCGGGCCTCGAGGGATTAGAAATACTTCTTTATGCAGAGAGTGGTTCCAAGGTAGGATTCGCTGCCAGAAGATGTAGTGGTTGCCAGGGGGTTAGTGAGATTCCTGGATCAGTCGCTGGTGGCTACCAGCCCTGGTGACCAGTGTTCCCTCTCAGCTGAGTGAGTGTGAGCCAGCTCACAGTTTTTGAGCCTCCGGCTCACACATTTTTGTCTGAGCTCAGGGAGGAGGGCTCCAGAGCAAACTAATTCATGCAGCAGCCAGATCGCACGCTCACAACTTTCATGCCAGTAGCTCACAAAGTACAATTTTTGCTCACAAGACTCCACAGCTTAGAGGGAACATTGCTGGTGACTGAGGGGAACCTCCACCTTCAGGGGCAGTCAACCTCTGAATCCCAGAGCCAGGAGGCAACCTCAGGGGAAGGCCTCGGCCTCCGTGCCCTGCCTTTTTGACCCCCCTCCGGAAGAACTGGCTGTCCATTGAGGGGACGCTGGACCAGACGGACCATTCCTGGTCTGACCCTCTTCTTACGTTCTTAGACGGAGCACGTGGAAGGGCCGTCTGGAAGCAGTGCTTAAAGCAAGGGGAAGGCAGCCGTCGAGAACCCTCGGCTGGGACCGTCGTGGGAGACCCTGCAGGGCTGATCCTCTCCTCTCCGTCTATCTGCCGCTCGGGCTGCGTTTCAGGGCTCTTCTACCCGGCAACAGCCGGGTCAGCACCAGGGACTTTTTCTCATTGGCAGCCCCGCCCCCGCCCTCTTCCACCCTTCCCCGGGCTCGATCCGGCGCCTCTGCCCCGTCGCTGCCCCCATTGCTGACCGGCCCTCGCTCCGCAGTGGACACACCTCCCTCCTCGGCGCTGGCAGCAGGCATGGGGGGCCTGGCGAGGTACCTGTCGGTGCTGCTGCCCCTCCTGGGGGGCCGCCTAGTAGCAGGTGAGATCCCCACCCCGCCGCCCAGGGACCTGTGGGGTGTGGGCAGCGGGGCAGCAATGGGGCAGGGGACGGAGTTGGAGGGAGGAATGGATCGGCAGGAGGGCTGGAAGGACTGGGTTTACTTGGGGGGGGGGGAGGTCTCTCTCTGGGGGGAGAAGTCGGAGCGCGGAATCGGCTTCCGAGAGAAAAGTTCTCTGCAGGCTGGAGAGAGTCCTTCCTCTGCGCCCGCGGAGGGAAGGGAAAGAAAGCCCACTCTTGGTTTACTCCCAGGAACCGAGCTCCGTCTGCCTGCTTGTCTGTCCGTCCAGGGGTTCAAAGCAAGGAGAATCAAAAGGCCTGGCTGGCGAATGCTAAGGGGGGAGGGGGGCCGCCCAGCCCTGCCAGCTGCAGCCCCCTCCCCCTGCGGGTTCCCCCCTGGCCCCATCTGGGCTCCCCCTCCCAAGCCCTTTGACTGCCGCGCGGGGTGGGGAGAGACGAGAGTCTCTCTCTACCTCTGTCTCGGACGGTGGACCTGAGCCCCCGGTGCAAGTTCCCACTGATGAGAGAGCTTGCCCAAAGCTCCTTCTTGGGGCTAAGGAAGCGTTTCACTGAGGGGGGGAGGCTGCCCCATTGATGGCTGGAAAGGGTGTGTGTGGACACGATGATCCTTTTCCTTTACCCCAGGGGGAAAGGATAGCCATCTTCCTCACCCTCCTCTTTCTCTGGTAGGAGCCAGGATCTGTCCATGGGAAATAATGGAGGATGGGGGCATCTCCTTCTGGGGCCCATAGAATTGGACCCCGTGGACCACTTTATTTGAAACTTGGGGGGGAAGTTGAGGTGAGGCTCCAGCAGCTGTGCTGCAAATTTGGTGCCTCTACCTCAGAAAACACCCCCCCCCAGATATCCCCAGATGGATTCTTCATTATAGCCTTTGACTATAATGCCCCCCATAGGCTATAATGGAGCACACCGCTATTGTGCTTTTCCATATGATTTGTAAGCTGCCTTGAGTCCACAGGGGAAAGTGGGATATGAATAAGTGGTTTGGGCAGGTTGATAAGATTAAAGCAGCTTCCTGTTTGTTGGGTTAGGCGGGGTTCTGACAGTGCTTGTTCCACCTCTGTTATGTTTGACCTGTAATGCTGGTTGTCATATTTCACTAAAGAAACCCCCAAAGTAGACTGCAAGAGTCCCCCCCCCACAGGTGCTGAAATGTTTTCTAAGGGTCAGTGCAGGGCGACAGTCCAAGGCCAGGCCTACCAATGTAGTGGAAAGGGGTGGGTAGACCTGTTCTCCGGAGGCCAGGCCTACCAATGTAGTGGAAAGGGGTGGGTAGACCTGTTCTCCGGAGGCCAGGCCTACCAATGTAGTGGAAAGGGGTGGGTAGACCTGTTCTCCGGAGGCCAGGCCTACCAATGTAGTGGAAAGGGGTGGGTAGACCTGTTCTCCAAAGGCCAGGCCTACCAATGTAGTGGGAAGGGGTGAGTAGACCAGTTCTCCGGAGGCCAGGCCTACCAATGTAGTGGAAAGGGGTGGGTAGACCTGTTCTCCGGAGGCCAGGCCTACCAATGTAGTGGAAAGGGGTGGGTAGACCTGTTCTCTGGAGGCCAGGCCTACCAATGTAGTGGAAAGGGGAGGACAGACCTGTTCTCCGGAGGTCTGGTCTACCCCTGTCAAGAACACTGTTTTGTGTAACGAAATCTGACTTGATTCTGTTATCATTTATAATGTTTACATTATTCTTAAGATATAGATACAAATATAGTTTAAAAGAATTCATTCTGAGATTTTTACACTGTTCTAGAAATAACCTAAAAAACGAATGTGCGCAATAGTCAAATGTAGACTTGCTCACAACTCTAATGCTACTGGCTTTCCCCCTCCCCTCACGAGGTAGAGTTCCTGCTGACAACAGTGTGGGCCTTAGAGGCGCTCAGACGGGGTAGCCCCGTTGGCCGGAAGCAGCAGAACAAAGTTTGAGTCCAGAGTGGCACCTTTGAGACCAACAAAGTCTTCTTCTGGGCACACTTCTTCAGATTCAGTGAAGAGGAACTTCCTCAACTATCATAGGAAAAGGGGGGTAGTTGCCAGGACGAGCCAATCAGAGTCAAGACAGAGACAAAAACAAAAACGGAAATTACCAGTCCGTAGACCCTCCACCTATATGTATGGACTGGTAATTGTATGGACTGGTAATATGTATGGACTGGTAGTTTCTGTCTCAGCCCTGACTCTAACTGGCCCTTCGTGGCAACTAAACCCTCCCCCTCCTTCCTATATGCGATGGCTGAGGAAGTTCTGTTTCAGTGTATCTGAAGAAGGGCCCGTGCACACGAAAGCTTCTGCGCAGGAAGTGTGCAGACGGAGGAAGCTGAGCAAGCCCCCCAGTACCTCCCCCTATGTATGTGTTGGGACAGGGAGAGAGAGAGGAGGAGGAGAGCAGAGGCATTCTGGGAAAACTCAGCTCCAATGCTCCCACTAAGCTGTGGAATCTTGTGAGCAAAAATATTACTTTGGGAGCTGCTGGTATTAAAGTTGTGAGCGAGTGATTTGGCGGCTGCATAAATTAGTTTGCTCCGGAGCCACATCCTTCCTGAGACAAAAATGTGTAAGCCGGAGGCTAAAAAACTCTGAGCTAGCTCACACTAGCTCAGCTTAGAGGGAACACTGCTCGACTCTACTGTGTTGGCTGCCAGAGGGCCCCAGCTCAAGGCCTCAAGGTGACTTTGGGCCCCAGGAATTTTGTCGCCCTCCCCCTCAGCAATTTCTATATATATAACACCAATGATCAAAATGAATGTGAGATCTATAATCCTTTAATCAAATTGTATCCCGTATTAGAGAAAATAACTTTTGACAAATTCGATCGGGAAACTATTACGGAAGCGAAGTACAAAATAATGTTATATGGTTGAAACAATGCAGTTTACTATGTATTATTGAAAACACAATGATATATGCGAGTCTTTGTGAGTTACACTTTGGGTGAAGAAATCTATGTATAGTAAAGCTTTTCTTTTTGTTACAATCTTTATAAAATTAATACATTTTCTTGGGTGGCGGGAAAGAGGAGTCCTCGAAGGAGCTCTCTCAGCCCCACCTGCCTCCCAAGGTGTCCGTTGTGGGGAGGGGAAGGGAAAGGAGATGGTAAGCGGCTCTGAGACTCCGAGTGAAGGGCGGGGGATAAATCTCTTCTTCTTCATCATCACCCTCCTTCTCTCAGGGGAGGACATGATCTCCCAGGTGGCCTTCGTGCAGCGGAGCCTGACCTCGGAGAAGGGGCCCGGCGAGTACTCCTACAACATCAACGCCGACGAGCTCTTCCACGTGGACCTGGAGCTCAAGGACATCGTCTGGCGGCTGCCCCGCTTCCGGGACCTCTCCACCTACCCAGCCGAGAGCGCCCTGCGCAACATCGCCGTCCTCCGCTCCAACCTCGAGATCCTCATGCGCCGCTCCAACAACACCCCCGTCGAGAACGGTACTGTGGGACCCCTCAATCCCACTGGGGCAGGAGCCTCAGACGCCCCCTCACACCCACCCCGGTCTGGCACCTGCCCCTCTGCCCTCTGCGGCCTCAGGCTGAGAAAGGGCCACTTGTTTCTGGGTGTCGAGAAAATCCTGGTTTCGGCCCAGTCTTCAATGCGCTCCCAACCAGACGCTGCTTCTACGCAACTGGCCTCAAGTGGGATACTCTCCTGGGACTCATCCAGAGGGTCCAAAGAGCTTATTTAATCCATTTATACCCCCAGGCAGCCAAAGTGGCTTCCTCCGTTGTCTCCACACAACAGGCTCATAGCTACGGTGGGGTTTGGGGGAGGGGCCCCCACAAGAGCCCCCCCCCCAATCATTTAAAAACACTTTAAAAAGGTCTGCACTCCTTTAAGCAGAGTGGGGTGCTGTAGTTGATTAATTCTTGCCCTGAGCAAGGGGGTTGGAGTAGGTGACCTCTAGAATATGTTTTACCTCTGTGTCAAGAAACTGCTCTCCTTTCAGACAGTTTTTCTGCCTAAGCGTTGGCTTTCTTGTCTATAGAAGTCATCACCCCCACCTGCCGGCTTGTTCTCAGAATTGTTGCCTAGACGGGCAGAAGCGATTAACTTGCAGCAGCTGAGAACTGTCATCTAAAGCAGTTGATAACTTGCAATTTAGAGATCTGTCCTGGTAACAGCTTTCTTTTGGCTAAATGCTTAATAGGCTACGGGTGATTGATTGCTAGCCTACGTAGAATAAACAGCTTGAGAAGACTCAGAGAGAGACGAGTGGCTGAGTCATTATCCTTGGAATTCTGGCTTCTCTTTTTGCAATGAGGACTTCAGCCCCACCAGAAAGACATTTGCCCTCACAAACCATAAAGTCCTGGCTACGGGCCTGCCACACAGGAGGTTGGGCTGAGACTGATTGTTATTCAAGGTCACCCAGTCGGCTTCCCTGGCAGAGTGAGGATTCGAACCTGGGTCTCTCAGGTCCCAGTCTGACACTTTCACCATTACGTCACACCGGCTGTCAACAGTCAGGGTCACCTCACAGCTTAAACAGGGCAGGTTCTCCGCTCTGCCTACTGTCCAATGACGGTGCCCCCCATTTCCCCTCCCCACTGTCCCAAAGGATCACAATGCCAGGAACCCCCCACCCCAGTCCCCTTCCCCCTTCTCATCCTCCTGAGAGATCCTCCCCAGGATCGAGAGCCAGTTTGGTGTAGTGGCTAAGTGCGCGGACTCTAATCTGGGAGAACTGGGTTTGATTCCCAGCTCCTCCACTTGCAGCTGCTGGTGTGACTTTGGGTCAGTCACAAACTGTGGCACAGCTGTTCTTGAAAAAGAGCAGTTTCTCTCAGAGCTTTCTCAGCCCCACCTGCCTCACAGGGTGTCTCTTGTGGGGAGGGGAAGGGAAAGGAGTTTGTAAGCTGCTCTGCGACTCCCTTGGGTAGAGAAGGGCGGGGTATACATCCAATCTCCTCCTCCTCCTCCTCTTCTTCTTTTTCTTCTTCTTCCCCTGTTGCCCCTCTTGGTGCAGGGCTGGTGGGTCTCCAGAGCTTATCCTGTGCCAGGAAGGTCCAAACGGTCACCCCCTCCTCACACTGACACAGACCTTCAATGTTCAGCCGTAGAGTGGGGGCCTCTTCCCCATTTTAGGGAGTGGAGACCCCATTCTGGGACCCTGGGGGAGCTGGGAAGGGAGACCTTCGATCTCGGACTCAGACCTGCACCAGAACCTCTCCTCTGTCTCCCCCCCTCCCTCGTAGTCCCCCCGAAGGTGACGCTGTACCCGGAGAAGCCGGTGGAGCTGGGGGAGCCCAACGTGCTCGTATGCCTGGCTGACGGCTTCCTGCCCCCTGTGATCAGCCTGACCTGGGTGAAGAATGGGCAGGAGGTGAAGGACACGGAGGAGACCGACTTCTACCCCAACAAGGACCACTCCTTCCGCAAGTTCTCCTACCTGACCTTTGTTCCCAACGCCGAGGACATCTACTACTGCCGGGTGGAGCACTGGGGCCTGGCCCAGCCCCTCACCAAGGAGTGGAGTAAGCATCGGGGCCGGGAGGGGGACTCAGGGCCAGTGCACGCCTGGGAGGGGGGGTCCTCAGTAGTAGACCACGGCACCCTCGCCTGGTGACCCCCATGTCTGAAACAGGGATCAGGTGCCGCAGACAAGGACAATCCTCTTAAGGGACCAGCCCTCCAGTGTAGGACTCTCCAGGGGAGGCAATGCACACATCATTCAGTCCACAGAATCATCCAGGGATGCCACGAGCACCTCCTCTTGAAGGCGGAAGAGTCCAACCTGGGATCCTTGGCTTTTTTCTGTGGGAGATTTTAGGCAAGGGGGGGGCTAGCCCCAGTGTTGGGTTTTAAAAAATGGGTTTTTAGCAGAGATAAAATAGCTTAGCAGTGCCAGAGTAAAATAATTCAGACTCAGAGTCCATGTGTGTTTAAAACAGAAAGTTTTTACTACATTCTAGCATAGGGAAGGGTAACTGGGATGAAAATAACAACGGAGCTAAATTCCCTACATCTTTACACTACTAAAGACAAGGCTAGAAGAGAGCAATTATGGCTTCTTTTTCTTTCTCCTTGAGAACAGCAAACAAAGATGGGAAGCGGAGCCATAAAATGCTAAAACACCTTGACACTTTACTTCCAATGAAACTCCTAGATCAGGGAGGATTGTCCCGGGCTTGTAGTTCTAAACTAACATTGGTTACATGGGAAACATGTGATTTCCTGTGAGCAACACAAACAAACATTTAACCCCAGATATACTGAGTGTAATTTTAACTTGTAATACCCAACACCCAGAGACTCCTGCCGCCCCGGCTGTGCTTCTTGAGGCCGGTGGAACCAGCATTTCTCAAAGGGGCCAGTCCTGTCGGGGTCGGTGCTGGGACCGAAGGTTTCGGGGGGGGGTTGTGGGGGGGGGGGGGGGGGGGACGACACAGTGTTTAGCGATGCCCCCGGAGGATGCAGAATCCAGGGGGCAGGAATCGCAGGGGAGGCGCTGGACCAAGTCTCTGCTTGTGCTAACTCACCTTCCTCTCTCAGATCCCAACATGGCCGAGCCCCTCCCAGAGACGGCGGAGAGCGTGGTGTGTGGTCTGGGCCTGGTCGTGGGCGTCGTGGGCATCATCGTGGGCACCGTCTTCTTCATAAAGGGCCGGCGGAACAACGAGGCCAACGTCCGCCGGAGGCCCATGTGAGTCCCGCCTGCAGCTGCCAGGCCCAAAGATGGGGGGGGGGCAGCTCATGCTGACAAGTCTGGGGGGGGAGACATCTCCTTGTGACTGAGGGGTGTGCCAGAAGAAGGGAATGACCAGGCAAGGGAGGAGCAGACAAGAGGGTCTCTGTGTTGTCTTACCGGGAGGAGAAGGGGAAGAGTTGCAAAGTCATGCCTGAAGAGTTCAGGAGGGGGGGGGTCTGGGGGTCTGAGGTGTTCCGGGCGTATTCTCACATATGCCCTGTCCTTTTCCCCATTCCAGTTTGGTGTTGTGGTTAAGTGCGCGGACTCTAATCTGGGAGAACCGGGTTTGGTTCCCCACTCCTCCACATGCAGCTACTGGATGACCTTGGGCAAGCCATAGTTCTGTCAGAGCTGTTCTCTCAAGGACAGTTCTGGAAAGAGCTCTCTCAGCCCCACCTCCCTCCCAGGGTATCTGTTGTGGGGAGGGTGTAGACTTTCCAATTTCCCGGGGGGGGGGCTGGGCCAGAGGCATTGCTTTGCTAGGAGCAAGGGTGGCTCTCGGGGGAGGCTGAGCACCTTCCTGAAAATTTTGGCGGGGGCTCATGCCCCGCCGCCCCCACGAAGCTTACGCCAAGGGGAAGGCGTTTGTAAACCGCTCTGAGACACTTTTGGGTAGTGAAGGGCGGGGTATAAATCCCATCTCCTCCTCCTCTTCTTCTTCTTCCTCCAGGTAATCGAGGGCAGATGTCCCTTCATATCAAGATCTGCGTCTGCCTCTTTCCCGACCCGCATCCTTCGCTGCTCCTTCCGTGTCCCCAGTCGTTTCCATTCCAGATGCTCCAGGGTCTCTTCCCTAGAGAGGGTGTTGGGTGTTACAAGTCAAAACACTTCAGTATTTACAGGGTTAATGATGTTTGTTAAGTCACATGTTTGTCTGTAACCAATCTGTTTAGACAATGGAATGTCCGGGAACTTTGGAGCTAATTTGCTAGTCTGATTGGAAACCCATGTGTCAAGTATTTAGCATATTGGCTTCTCCTCCCTGTCTTTGTTCTGACTGAAGAAGGGGATTCCATTCCTGCGTTTTACCTGTAACTGTAAGGATGTAGGCATTCTAGCTCTTTGTTATTTTCATATCCTGTGTACCTTTTCCCCATATTAGGTTTATAGTAAACTTTTCTATTTTAAAACACACCATGGACTCAGTCTCTTAATCGCTGATTTACTCAAAAAGAATCCCAACAGAGGGAACTCCTTGAAACCCTCCAATCTGGGCGTGCAGTTGGTGATTTGCCGTGAGATGCTGCCTGTCTTATCCCACTTTCTATGTGTTTGTCGAGCGGGGAGGGGTTCTCACAGCCCACTTCTGGCTCCAGAGATTCTCTAAGAAGAGCCCACCAGGACTGCTGAGTAGACTATGTCGGCCATGTGATTTCCTCCGTGTCAGGGATCCGGAGAGAGCCTGTTGAGGCTCTGGGCATTACACTATTTTGATGTCTTCAGTCTCATTGTCAGGAGTCTGTTAGTGAGTCAGGAGAGCTGACCGGGGCCTCCTTTGGGGCTTCTCTCCTGTGACTTTTAACAGCAGCCTGACGGGCAGAAGTCATGCAAGTGAGTCTTTTCTTGGCCATCTGCTCAGGTTCGCTGCTGTTAATGACATAGGAGGGGGGCCTGTGGAAAAGGAAGCAGCCCTGGAGAGTCACTGTCAGGGAGGGAGTGGACATGACGCGATCCACCCAGGTGTGTGGACGGGCAGTGAACCTATCAGAAGACCTTCCTCCGCAGATTTGGTTCTCACCCTGAACCCTGCAGCCTCCATCCCATAATATTGAGCCTGGGCCTGGGAAAGAACTCTTCCGCTGACTGCAGCAGGAAGCCAAAGCTCCTTTAGAGCAGGGGTCATTTCCTGCAGGAGCGCACAGGAGCGGAGCTCCGGCAGTAAAGAGCCCAGGGGGCAGGCACATGCAACAAGTCCCACCCCCTGCTCCCAGCAGCCCTCAGTCAGAGCAAGAAGCTTCCAGGTGAGCTGCAGAGCCTCTCCCCCCTGGCCCCCGGCCCAAAACAGTCCAGTGGCACCTTTAAAACCAAGTTTTATTTAGGTACAAGCAGGTACAAGCTCTCCCTCCTCTGCCAGGGCAGATCTGCACATCCCCCCTCCCCATAGCTAGCAATCCAAAACAGTCCAGTGGAGCCTGAGCGGTGGGTGTTGCCTTCTGACACACTTCCGGTGATGTCAGGGGGTGTGGCATATGCAAATGAGTTATGCTAATGAGTTATGCTAATGAGCTCCTGCACCCCTTTTTCTACTAAATGACCCCTGCTTTAGAGTAGATCCTCCCCCTCCTCCAAGTGGCACTCACGTCGGGCTCTTCCATGACCCTTGATTCAGGGCTGGGGAGGGGGGGGGATTATTTTGCTCCATAAACATGCTCTGAGCAAAAGCCCTCCCCAGCTTTTCTACATTATTACTTTTCTGGAAAAGGAATAAACGGGACCTTTGTGTTGTCTGGAGGCTCCTGAGTCTTATTGCTTCGCGCTACAGCCTGGGTGGTGGAAAATCAAAAATGCAGGAGGGGCCACAAAGATGCCACCAGACTCCCTCTAAGCTGTGGAGTTTTGTGAGCAAAAGTTCCACTTTGTGAGCCACGGGCATTAAAGCCGTGAGTGAGTAATTTGGCTACTACATCAATTAGTTTGCTCTGGAGCTGCCATCCTTCCTGAGCGGAGACAAAAATGTGTGAGCTGGAGGCTGAAAACCCGTGAGCTAGTGCACACCAGTGTTCCCTCTAAGCTGAGTTAGTGTGAGCCAGCTCATTTTTTTTAGCCACTGGCTCACACATTTTTTTGCCTCCGCTCAGGAAGGAGGGCTCCTGGAGCAAACTAACTGATGCAGCAGCCCAATCACTGGCTCACGACTTTCATGCCAGCAGCTCAGAAAGTAGAACTTTTGCTCACAAGACTCCACAGCTTAGAGGGAGCGTGGGCTCACACACTGACTCAGCTTGGAAGGAACACTGACTGTCATCCGCCTGCTCTCGTCCTTCTGGACTCTGGCTCTTTTCTGCAGCTGCAGACAGACTAACACGGCTGCGACCCGTCTGGATCTAGGCACTGTGCCAGGGGTTCCGGCGCCCGGGAGAAAAAGGAGACCTGGTGAGGGGGGGGGGAGCTGGCATTTGCAGGAGGCGCCAAAGCACCTTGCAGAGGAGGCCGCTGTGTGACGTTGGCCGTGCCTTGCAGCCACCCTCCCCCCACCCCCGCGGCGGGTGGAAGCGGGCCAGGGACTCCCCAGGGCCGGCTTGTCACCCGAGGAGGGTTTGGCTTGGGGCTTGGGCCGGGACTTTCCTTGAGACAGATTTCGAGCTTTTCCGGCCAATCACCGGCTCCGAGAGGAGTCGAGTCATCAGTTGCCGGGTAGCAGAGCTGCCGTTTCTGGGCTAAGCGTCCCTTTGTCGTTTTAGGCTCGACTCCGAGCCGCCCGTCCGTCCTGCAGGCGGGGAGAGACGCTTCCTCTGGAGAGGGGGGCCGTCCGGGGACTGCGCAAAACAGCCTCAAAGGCAGCCACACGCCCTCTCTGTTTGTCTTACGGTTGCCACCTTCCAGTTGGGGCCTGGAGTCCCCACCCACCCAC